AAAATTCAACGCGCATTTTTTAGTCATACACATATTTCATATGTAATTCGTCATCGTACACGTGACAAAATTATTATTTCACTCAGGATGCATGACAGAAATTAGAATATGAATCCAACGATGAACGCACGAAGAAAATAAATTATCAAATCAAAATAGTTTGTTGACAGTGTTGGCGAAAGAGGAGGAAAATACTGACTTATCCTGGTGAATGCATGAATCCCATATTTGAAATACTTTTCGCCGTATCTCGTGACTGCCCTTCACTGGGAACTGGCAGCAAGACGACAAGGGACACGATCGATGAGCGGTGTTTCGCCATCTGTTTCCCCGGACCGCTTGGGAACTCGATTCAACGCTCTACACTTCGTGCATAACTTACCCGAGGGGACGTGATAAACGTTATTAGGATCGTTTTTACGCCCGGCCAATGGGCAAAGATTTACCGACTCGCGCGCAAGCTCGATATACCTACATCTAACGTGCCTGAATAAATACTGAATCGTCGATCATCGTGTCCCATTGCAGAAAATGCGGATCGACCAATTTGGGATCGTTTTGCCGCGGCTCGACAAAGTTGACGACTGGCATAAATTGGAATATTATCACAGCTATACGCGAACCCTGCTGTAATAATGTTACAATTTATAGAAACACGAGGGTGCTCTGAAATGTGGTCTCGACGGTACTCGAACGCGAATAAGGCTCAACGGCCCTCTAAAATTCCGTTTTCGGATTTTCGAACACGTTTCAATAGTTATTTACCTATACATATACACCTCACTCTGCGGTGGCATTTGTATAAAATGTAGGACAAAAGTTACCAATGCAGGCGAAAGGAATGTAACGGAATTGAAGCAACACAACTCGATTGAAATCAAAGCTCTTTAGTACGTGGGTATATAGCTCTTCATAGAAACGTTGTCAATTGGTGGTGATTAACGTCAACGCCGATGAATAACCGCAGTTTAAGTGAAGATAGCGGTATATTCGCAGAATATACGCCGTCAATGATTATTATATATGTCACGTATGGTTTCGTTGCGTAGTTACATCGCTATCGATTTTAAGTTGCGTTGCCAGAAAAATTCGCGCTATCGATTGCACTGTTGTCCCCGTATACGCCCTGTCGTCGAACATAGTTCACACATTTTTAATTGATTTTGATCTCGGGCGTTTCACATGGCTGTCATAAATAATCGAGGCGCGGATAATGAAAGGCAAATTCTTTGCGTGGAAAGTCAATCTTGCTCACCAAAGTCATATACGTGAAATGCACTACAAAGAGACGCGCCATGACCTGCATTCCATTCTTTATATTGTTTCCAGCAACTTTTCCTCATCACGCGGCAGACGGTAGCAAGCTTTCAGTGGGATATCGCGAAGTGTAAACAACAACAACGTTGACACCGTTTCGAATAATTTTGAAGGGGGAGGAAATCGGCGCCAGAAGTTCAATGGATAATTTTTCAGAACCGCTAAGTTATGAATGTCCAAAATTTTTTAAAAAGATATTACCGAGGAGGGTCTGCGACCTCAACTTTACCTCTTAACTTCAACCCTTTGGTCACAATATATATTATATATAATGCGCAATATTTCCATATATAGAACTTTTCACAATTTTGTTCAAATAATAACTCCGTTCGGAGATAAATGTAGCGATAAAAATGCGATTAGTCTTCATTTTAATTACCAAAACTCGTGAAAGGGAATCATTATCGCGATGGCCATAAAAATATTTTCAACTTTGCTCTTCAGTGTCGAAGACATTAATCTTACTTCCAGTCCCTCTGTTAGAGTCGACTCTTTTAATCTTAATTAAGGGCAAAATCTCATAAAAGCCTTTGATAATATTTCTCGCCGATTCCGCTCGCGTTGAGATGCCGTGGAGATTCGAGTTTACTTTTAAAAGGGCTGGAGTGGCGCTACACGGCCGGAACGTACGTCAAAAGCAATTAAACTACAATCGTGCCTAATGGCGAGCTAGATAACCACTTCCACACCGATCGTACCGAGCAGTGGCGCCTGCCACTACGTGGTAGATGTGTGCGATATCGTGTAAGATCGTGTGGCGTACGTGCGTATGAGCATGTAAAAGGACGTATTGGTATGTGTGTGTAACGCGCGACCTCGGCGCGTCGCGAACTGATTTAGTTTAATCGAAACCGTAATTCTCCGCGAGGTGGGAATAAACGCGTCGAACACGAGCGCAAGATTGAATAAATAGTCAATAATCGCAGGGATCCCGAATAGGTCGTCCGTTGTAATAGCGGCGGATAGTGTAAAGGATTGTTGCCGCCGCGGTAATCGAATAATTTCTCAGGAAGTTCTGCCCTCCGTCCCTCTTCTGAAAAGTCACTTGCGCGTAACTTGGTTGATGAACAAAATATTAGTACAGATAACAATGTGGAGGAAAGTGCCATGGAAACACATAATGTTCCGTCACGTTGATCTTCATAACGTTAAATAAAACAGTTAGTTAGAAAATTAAGGTCTATTAAATTTTATGTCGCATTGCGATGATGTAAACGCGAATTATATATACGCATCAAGATACTTATATTTTCTTCTTATATAATTCAAAATTTTTTCTCACATATTACTGTGACATCATAAATTTCTGCTTCATCTAAGAATTTTTTTTCTTTCAATTCCTGAGAGAAATTTTATTTTAATCACTTTGATTACATTTGGCCTGCAATTAAAACGTATCGAATGAGAGTACTATTTAATTCTTAGTCAACCGAGCTTATTTCAAAGCGCGGTAACGCTAAATTTCGGAGAATTTGAACGGCATCTCGGAAATGCCGGTTTTCCCACGATTAATATGCCTTTTAGTTTCCGTTATCCTTCTCCATCTGGTTAAACCCGTTGCACGTTAATCCCTGCGGAGTTAATCTTCCTTCGATGTATCGCCGCTACCGCAAGCGCCTCCACATTGGAGGTGGAGTTGGAGGCAGTTATATACGCGCTGTGCAACACGAAGCAATTAAGCACCGGTATTGCAACTGTATTTTGCGTGCGCTCCGGTAAAGTCAGGCGCCCTTAAGCTCCGTCTGATCGTACACGGGCTGTAAAATCGTGCGTAACTGCATGTGCGGTTCCATCGCGTGTGTGAGTTACGCGTATACGCGTTTATAACCGATTGCGGTAACCGATTGCCCGAAGAGTTATGCAACGTACAGTAATTATTGCGGCAATGAAATGTCAGTTATGAGAAAAATAAATAAATAAAGCTTTCACAAGTTGTGTCGAAATAAAAGAGTAATCGTGATATATCACGAGAAATCAGTGTAATGCGATTTGCAAAGGACGCTTTGTGTCTCATGATGGTTGCACAAGATAAAAATGCATTTTCTCTCTCTTCGCGGTTTAAATTGTAATTTGATTAAATCGTTAATTGTGGTCGACTTTATAAAAGAAAGATTACGTTCCCCCTCTGCGTTCCCGCACGCGGTAAAAAACACACCTTTCGATACCATCATCGATTATGAGTCATCCGTTAGACACGCCAACGTTCTTGATAACGTATATATGCGATGCGAAGTAATGACGTGCACACGAGGATTGCAAACAATCGTATCAGCGTTTCAAATTAAGTAAATAAATATTTAATGGGATTGTAAAGCTAGCGGCACGTGCTTCTCGCGGAATGCAGGACAAATGCAAATTGCAGGCAACTGCGTCGTTGCGTGTGTGCGCGAGACAGTGAACGATCTACCTTATTTATTTATCCCTCTCTCGATCACTGCCGATTTTTTTTTGTACGACAGTTTTTCGCCCCGTCGCGTCGCTGGCGATTCGCGAAATAAAGCAGCCGTAACTTCATGCGTCCGAAGCGTAACGGAGCGGCATTGCTCAAACGTCAAATTAACCACCGCGCGCCACGGTGGAAGCCATGCAGTTTGCGCATAATTGGAAATTCCAATGTTTACTCTTCCCATATCCTGAATGTTTGCCCCTACAGGATAATCGGAATAAAAATAAAACTGTAATTTTCTACACTAATTGCTTTTCACGCAGATGTCAGTCTAATTCTAAGTATCACGAATAAGGGAAATGTAAAACAACGTGCTTTAATACTTTCAATTTGTTAAATGTATTATTGTATTATTGTATACACTTTACGTGTAAAATGTACGTCAAAATATTATCACATCGTATAAAGAGCTTAGCGATATATACAGAATATAAATCGGAATACATAAAAGTAATCGGTTTCTATTTTATTTTCGAACTTTCTTAGAAATTCTTATTCACTGAAATACTGCCATTTATTTCTCATTATTACATCACAGACCATTCCAATTGAACAATCTGTCCGTGCGTATATCTAAAAATATAAGAAGTAACAATTTTTTAAATAGCAATTCCACAATATCTTTAATTACAATTTTTCAAGAAGGCATTCAACAAATGGAAATTACTTATAAATTAACCCAGCAAAAGTATATCCTTTTGTAAGTTTCTGGCCAATCTCCAAGGTATGAAAGGAGAACCAGCCATGAACGTCATCGAGCAACGAAAGATTACACAAATTATGGTAACTTAACTTTTACGCGGGCATTCTTCTCGACTAACTGTCCTCCGGTATGTTCAAAGAGGTTACCTCCGATGTGCCAGTTTAAAATCTCATTCATTCTCTCGCGCTAATAGCCACACGGACACTTCAGCAACGCCGTAAAACCGAGTTCCCGAGATATTCTCTCATTCACGTGTTGACACGTAGCTACGGCTCTTTCGGAGCACTGTTTCAATTAAAAGTTCGAGAGGATTTTTTTTTTTATCCCTTTCATCCGCTTATGTATAATACCATCCCGGATGGTCGCAAAGTTAACGAGTATACGCCCAAGTATTCTACTCCTTAATTCCCCGTTCCTTCCGAGAGAGCCCGATTCTCTCTGATTCTCAGAAAAACAAATGTCAAATATACTTCTTATTATTTCGCAAGACGTACTTTGCGCGACATAGATTCGAGAAAGCTATCTCTTCCTCTCCTTTCTCTTTCTCTCTCTCTCTCTTTCTTTTGCGGAAGCGACTCCTTTTCACGGGAAATGGAGGTGTTCCTTTATCGCGATTACAAGTCCATTTAACTCGAATAATTTATACACCGTAAAACTCTCGAGCGAAAAGTTTGCCGTAATCGTTAGCATGATGATATCACACGAACGTAGTACACCGGAGTGAATTTTTCCGCGTTCAAAAAGAATTTCTCGTATTTCATAGCACGGCCGGGGCTTATCCGTCTGTCCCGTGGAAATTCTGAGGAAGAAGGATATACGGTAACGGAATTTGCCGTACTTCATCTTTACCCTTCTTTGATACGAAACACGATCTCCAGCAACAGTGACAGGACAGCGGTATCGTGTATCGCGCATCTTTTCTCTGCCGCACACACGACAAATTTCGAGGGATATCGTTGCACGGAGATCAAGCAGCGTGACATGCAAAATCGTCGATTTAATAGGTCGCTTCGAATTGTCCCGTAAAATACCCGGTGGAGAATTCAAGAATACCACACGCCTTCACTGTTTCTCACAATATTTTATTTCATACTCTTTTATTACTATTATTACTCTTTCATACTCTTTTATTTCATACTCTTTTCTTTTTCTATATATCTTTATATAATCCTTATATAAATTCCATAACGATCTTATCTTTTACTCTTATCTTTTACTCTTATCTTTTACTCGTACTACTTAGAAACGAGAATCGACGGCGACAATTTCACTGAAAGTCATGAAAATGCAAAAGTATGAACTGCGGGAAATGATATACATTTCAGTTTCATTTGGATAAAACGCGATTAACCAAGATAATTCCCCCGGAACCCAGAGAGTCCGGGCAAACATAATTACATTATTACGGATTACAGCGATTTGTGCGGACACAACTCCCGTGGCCTGGGCGAGATAAAAGCGGAAGAACCCTGGTAACAAAAATAAAACGCACGCGATACGTTCAGTAGGAAACAACTTTGCGAAGAAAGATGAAAAAGAAGAGATATAAAAAGAGGGGGAGCGAAGAGAGAAAGAGAAAGAGAGAAGGAGAGAGAGAAGAAAAAGAGTGAAAGGCAACACGGCCAGGGTCGCTGGTTAATCCAAATCTGATGTATGACAGTCGGGGCTGCCATTTGCTAGCTGTCATCCTCGCCCCCGATCCTCCGTCTTCTAATACCATCGTCGTGGAAATGACAAACGGTCGAAAGTAGAAAGATAACAAGGTAGCTTTCGGAGAGGGAATGAGCCCTCGAGGCTCCGCGTTACGTTGAATCGCGATGCTTAAAACAGCAGAAATGACTTCTGACTTCAATCGCATATCTATTTCTCGCATTTGCCCCCGTCGCTCGAACGTGGATTAATATCTCACCCTCGCCTCGGTAGTGCCGTAGCGCAAAAGTCGATAAGTCCATTTCCATCAGCGATTCTTCGACGTGTGCGACGAGAATATTATAGAGATGAGAGTATATATTATAGAAATAACAATACATATAATTCTTTTTGTTCTCGCTGCCTCTGCGGACTGTTATTACATTAGCTTCTTGACACGTGATTTCTTGGTTCAACAATCTGGTCCCTTTTATTTCTCTTAATACAGCGTTGATCTGTGTGAGGGGGGGAAATCTCATGCGGTAGCGGAAATTCAGCGGTTGAGCGAAATAGTGATCGACAGACACACGGCAAGTCAATATTTGTAAGTCATATTTCAAGCAATATGATACTTAACAACTCTGGCGTGACTACCAACTTTGGGTATTTTTATTTCAAGTGGTTTTGTCGGGATATTCCGTTCAAGTACTTTAGACAGTCTTGTTGATGATTTAGAAAAATTGCTGTAATACATTAACAGGATTTTACACGAGGCACTTTCATAGATATCTTACCGAGAAAAATGTGATTTGTTTCGCTCAACGACTGAATTAAGTAGAAAAATTAAAGGGGAGAGGAAAAAAAGAACATTCGGAAAAGTGATAGATCACGCGAGTTATACGCGAGGTACGCGCTTGCTCTATATGCTTGTTCACGCAACGTATCAACGTTCGTGAGAGAGAACTCGATTATTCCGAGTGCACGGAATTACTTACGGCATCCGATTGATAATTAGAGATCTCTTTTTACATGTTCATTGCGTTGCACGGAGAGCGCAGTCACGGCTTTCGGCAGCGCACTCCGTATCGTTAATGAGATGAATGCGCCTTTTGGAGCTAATTAGTGGAGATTACGAGAGAGAGATGATGAATCGATATCCGATTTCCGTTTCTGCGATTCGCTCTTTTCTGTAATAATATGATAAATGTGTATTTCTATTCCTAAGGCAGCGCCTCCGTGTTCCGTCGTGTATTCAAAAAGCACTAGTATTTGCGGCAAAGCGTTTTGCATGTAAATCATAGCGAGTCAGAGGAAACGTTGGTCTGTATCACTTTGCAGCGAATATTAATGAATTAGCATGCAGTAACAAGCTTTCTCGGAAAAACTTAGCAACCAACACAAGCCAATATAAATATTTAATTTAAACGACGATATTGCGAAAGCGGAGGAGCGTCAAAACGGATTTAATAATTCACTCGATAAATGATTCTTCTTATTGTTTAAATAAATCATCGATAGTTTTCTATTTTTATTTTGCTCTCGCGCTCCAAGACTACGACAGTCAAGTATTAATTTTCATAAAAGGAGAAAAGACTCTTCTGTATATTAACTGAAAATCTGATTTTGAAAATTGTAAATGATTCTAATTAGAACAGTGGACAAAGAAAATGATTACGATTACATTTTCGTAAAATTCTTGGCAATATAAATTTTGAATAATATATATAACGTGAATAAAAAAATTAATTATTTGCCAATTTTTGAATATAAAAATAGAATGAAGAAACGCTAAGAAGATTGTTTAGTTTGATAACACGATCATGTAAATGAATATTTATGCACAACGGAACACGAAGATTGATAACACCAATCAATCCTTGAAAAATGATCTTTGAGATACCTTCTAAGGCAGTATTTGCAGCCGAAAGAGTTTAGCATCGTTTCACGACGACGGTAAGTACGATGGTAGTAACATCATTGTTAAGTCGTCATTGTCTTATACGTATGGTTTAGAAAGTTTATTTGCCTCGTCAAATACACCTTCTAAATCGGACGACTTCTGGCACGCTTCTAACCCGTTATCGATTTTTTATACTCATGCAGCAGCTGTAATATTACAATAATTGCTGTATTAACACCAATTTACCAGCTTCGTGTGTGACTTGTCATTATCGTGAGAGTATTATTAACTCGATTGATATCAGCGCCCGGATTTCCGACGCGTACGTACGTTATCGCGTTTCAACAATTCTTTAAAGTAACAAAGCACTTTTATACCGTGTGTGACAACTCTACTCTACTCTACTCTATTCTAGATACGTTACATTCAAACTAACAAAGGCAAAACTTTAACTCATTCCGCACAAAACGTGTGTGTATCATGGACATATGGTTACTAGGGCTAAATGAACAATCCGTATACGTCCGTCAGAAAAAGAAAATTGTCTAGGTATATACGAACGAATGTATGTGTGTGTGTGTGTATCACTGGCTTTGTACTTTGGCGAAACTAATTACCTGAGGTCGTTGCCCCTGGATCTTCTCATGCCGCGCGGCGGGTGTCGCGGTGGCGGCGTGCACCTGCAGTCACAGTGCATCACACACAGCACGACGCTGGTCGCGAGAGTCACTACGAAAGGCGCCGCGAAGAAGTGCATGATGATGGCGACCTGTGCCTCGCGATTATAGTTTGCCATCACTATGCTACCATTCACCCGGCTATAATGGCAGGGAAACTTCGCGCCTTCGTAACCCAACTCGCGGGTGAAGTTCTTGCAATCGATTGCCGGCGGATATCCGCAGCCCTTGATGTTCACCAACAGCACCGCCTCGACATCCCCCGGCGTGGACACTGCTCGACAAAGACATGTTTTACAGCGGAGATTAACATCGGGGAGGGTGGTGGATTTGGAATTTTTATGCTCGCCGAGAGCACGCATGCAATCCGCAACGTTGATCTACTAAATCGGAATGTATTCCAATTTCTCTTCGATTTCCCAGGCGATACATTCTATTTTATAGTCAAATAGCGATATAGAGAAAGAGGTGGTTTTGAATTTTACAGATTCCGTCCGTTACATCTCGAATTGTACCTCGCGTTCAACAACGTTGTTTCTAATATTTGAAATCATATTGCGATTAATATTTTCGGATTTTCTATTGTACTTCGTGCTTTCCTGCCTATTTCTCTACGGCATTACTTTAACCTTTTTTTTTTGCCAATCTGATTTAACGTCCAATTTATTTTAACTTCGATTATTATTCTCAATTGTATAGCCACACAGAAAAAAACAAGTGTCGAATCAACACTGATATACTTGTGTATACGCAACAACATATGTAATTATCTTATAAGATTTTCAACTTTTTCTTCTTGATTGAACTATAGAAAACTTCGTTTAACTATACAAATAGCTTCATTCAAGTAAATTTTCTTCGTTTAACGCAATATAATCTCGTTTTAAAATTATATATTGTTGCGTGTGTATATATAATGAGTATAATACCAGTGTTGATTTGATACTTCTTTTTCTTTCTGTGCATGTGGAAGATACAAGAAGAAAAGTGAAAAACGCTAAGGAAGACTGCGACTTAGTGATCCTACCGGCAGTGACGGTGCCCAGATCGGCCGTGGCGTTCGCGGTGGTGTTCCTGCCGCCGGTGTCGTTCTTCATGCTGGCGTTACTCCACGGCGTGTACGTGACGTATATGTGAGTGCAGCTGTACACGTCACTGGTGCATCCCTCGCGGCACGAGCTCCACGTACAGTTGAAGAGACCGGCGAGGTCCTCGCGCCGCGAGGTCGTGCAGATTACCGGCTCCGGCGAGAAGTCCGCCGCTAGGGTGCTGATGGCCGGGTCGACGTAGAGCGGCACCAGGAAGAGGAGCGCCGCGCCGCCTGACGTAGCGACGAAGGCCAGGGCCGATGTCGCGTAGAAATTAAACCGCTGACGGCAGGTAGGCCGTGGCGGTCGGCGCCGCGACGCGCCGAGCCCGAGCTCCAACAGCTTGCGCTTACGACGTAGCTCCCGCTCGTGGAAGTCGTACTCGCCGCCGCTGTCCCGACCCTGATTCCGATCGTGTTCGCTCTGGCACTGGCTGCAGCTCGCCTCCAGCAGGAGTTCGGAGCTGCTTCCGCGCATCACCCGGGAGACGGCTTCTCTCCGAGATCGAGACGACGCTACGCGGCCAAGGCTCCTTCTACGGCTTCCTCTTCTTCGGGCGGTGCTGGCTGCTGCTCGATGCCTCGATTCTGCGATGATTCATCGAGCGCGGCGATCTACTGGCCGATCATCGCTTCGTATACGGTTAGGCGCTATAGGTTCATGGAGGGAAGGGGTCCTTGATCCTCCGGGATCAACTGTCGAGCAGGTACGCATCGATCATCGGTTTCCGCGTGGACGACTCGTTCGGCAGAGTACCAGGGATCAAGTGAGCTCGATCGCGATCCCGTCTTTCGCTAGGAAGCATTGAGCGAGGCCGTTTACCAACTCGTTTGCTCGTCTCGAAATTCGATGCACGGTCGTCGAGGCAATTTCGTCGTGTATACCGGGGGGGATTTTATCGAACAATATGAGCTCCTCGATACAAAAAATTAGGATATAATTTTAGGTGTAGCTTATACGAGATCCTCGATCGACGACGCCGCGTTATTGTTTCGTCGATGTACGCTCGATCGTCGCGGATCTCCTCCCGAAATCTCGAGGAGCATCATGAAGCAAGATCCTGCAAACGATGCCGCGCGCTTCGCAAAGCTCCATGCACGTCTTCTCGCGACGGCCTTGGCTCGGCATCACGCGAGGATTCGATGAATTCGATTATCGCCTTCAAGTTCGACGCTTGCTCGAACAGACACTTGTAAATCTCGGCATCGTTTGTGTAGATAGGCCACGTACCACTCGGCTCCGCCGAGCCCACCTCCTCTCGACTCTCCTCCTCGACTTTTCAACCGTGGAAAGTCTTTACCTTATCGCTATACATAACGACCTTGCACGCTTTAAGGTTCCTTCGGGTTATCAAATTGAGCCGATCGATCACGACCTTTCAGCCACTGCCGTTTTGCAGGAAATCATGCATTTCGATAATGCGCGCGCGTAGCAGCGCGCCCCGCGCACGTATATGAAAAATCTTTGAGAAGAGACTGACGATCGCTTCACGCGTTAGAAAAGTCGCGTGCTATTTTGGAAATTGTTAATCTGTTGATCCCAAGTTAGGCCTGTTCGTTCGTTTCTTTGTTTAGTATTTTTTTTTTATCGGTAAGGCGCACGTTGTGATATTTGAACGACGGATATCGAGTCAAAGGAATTCGATATCGCGTATGTGAAACTTATACGACAAGCAGGTCGACGTGACGCGACTCTCCCCTATGTACCTTGCTCGTCAGCTTTAGAACCGATCGTAAAATTATACTACAGGAAGCCACAAATCGTCAACGACATTTCGTCTCCGCTAATGAAGGAGCTTTTCATCCAGGACGTTGCGCTATTACTATCTCGCCAGGTCTATCCGCAATCAACAGCGGTCGCTGGTATATACTTGACGATCCGCCACGCGCTCCAGATCAATCCACCCAGCTGTCTGTTTCCAGCGGAAAAAAGAGTAAAGGTATTCGACGTACTCTTTCAGAACCCGTGTGAGCCTCCGCCGGTGAATCCCGATGGTGCCACGAATCCGCGATCTACCCGTCGCCGTCCAGCTTGGCTCTCGCGCCGAAGGACCATTCGCGGTAACACTTAACGGGTCCCGTTTAACACCAGCTCCGCAACTGGTTGCCACGCAGCGGAGAGATGCCTGGCATCGACGTCGGTCGCGTCGCGATCCTGAAATTCCTGTCGCCGCACGCGACTCCCCGTCGCGTACACCCGATCGATCCGCCGCCGTCGATCCTTCCTGGGTGCATAGGACACACTCACACTCACCGGCCGTCGCGATCGAATCACGGGGTGATCTCGATGATCCTGCGATCTCGAGAGGGGAAGTGAACTGTGAAAGGAGTGAAAGCGCGACGGACCGGGGGCGGGGACCAGGACAGATGTTTCGCGGGGCCTTCTCTTCCTCTTCCTCCTCTCGCGTACGAGCACCAGCGCGTTCCTGGCGAGTGCCGTCCGCCTCGCGGATCGCGGGTTCAAGCGTGACTATTCGACCACCTACGCGAGGAG